GGCTTTTTTTTCTCCAACCAACCAGTTGAGTACTCTGTGAACGTGACTCTTCATGCTCAACTGGTTGGTTGAAACAAAATCTTGGCCTGGATTTGTACTTTCTGAACCTGAACTTTCTACCTCTGCAAATTATTATATTGTGTGTGTTCTGTATATGCTGAAAAACTGTTCCTCGATATTTTCTTCCGTTTATGAACAATGGTAGTTCCACAAATTTCCTGTTGAATGAAACTCAGCATATTGTTGTGCGTTTTAATATTACGCGCGTGTTAACTAGTGAAGTAAGGTGTACATATATGACACTATCATAAGCGTCACGGAAACTTGCACCAACCCCACAGCCCTGCACCTGGATAAGCAACTGAAAAATGGATAGATGGAAAAATAATAATTTTGCAAGGGGATTGTGGGTGTGGATTTCGGTTGTTCCTAGCATAAGCTGTGACAGTGTAAGGCTGCGTGCGCATGGAGATATGACATTTCACGGCTCAATGCAGCACACCGATGCGTGATTCCGAATCACTGGGGACGGGCTGAGGGTGGCGTGCAAGATCATTCATGAGACGAGGGAAGACGCTGCAGGGTTACCAGTCTGTATCCAGACGAGAAGGTCATAAGCTTATGGGCTGTTGAGGGTGTGGTACAACAGTCATCACACACACAAAAAAAACAGGCTTTGATCAAGCCTAGAAAACTGGCAGTCTTCTCCAGACTCACTGGAAGATGCATGATTGGCCCTCAGAAAGGTCGGCAGATAGATCTGTGGCGAATAGACTATAAGCAGCCCGGGATGAGCCGTCCTGGCCGCAGCGTGCCAGGGAAATGAGAGAGAGGGCGCAGAGTGGATTTCTCACTCACGGTTTCTGCTCTGTGCCCACTGAGTGTGACTCGGCGCGAGAGCGACAGGCGAGCGAGCCGGCCGGACCCGTTCTCCTCTCCATCATATCTTATCAAGCTGGTGATGTCGGGTTTCCACGTGTCACTCCGGAGCCGCTCGTCATCCTCTGAATCAACAGCTGGTCAGCCTGCTTCCAAGAGCTACACCATATGGTCGCCATGTTTACAGTGCATTCCTCCTAATGCAGTTATGACTCCTATGAAAGTACAGTGGAGTCATAACGATGGTAGTCACATTCAAGTATGTCTACTGTTATATACTGTATCCATCCATCCATCCATCCATCTTCCAACTACTTAATCTAAATGGAGGTATGATTATTTCTTTATGCTGGATTTTTAGGTCTGACGTCTTTCAGAAGACCCAGGAGGACCAGCACCTACAGGTTATTGATGAAAACCTGCTAAATAATTCACACTGGAGCACCACCGGTGTGCCGGGACCCAGAACCGCAGAGAGGTACTTCTGGTGGGATACATGCAGCCAGACGTCATCCCCGGCACACGTCTCCCATCGATCTAGCGAACCCCCCCCCCACCCCGGCATATTCCGGCTTCCAGGCGAGTTTGGGCGTTCGTCACGCCGGCATAGGGTCCGTCCTCGCTGTCGGCAGAAGCGTGTTTGGGGTCACATGGGGCTGTTCGGTGGTGTAAGCCTTGCCACGCCTGCAACCGACGTTCACCAGATGGTACGATGTGGTTACAAGTGATCTTAAGTGACCTGATCATAACTTACTGTTCTGTTCACGATGCCAGGATTCTCTACCCGCACTCAGAAAAAAAGGTAAAAATTGCCAACTGTACCCTCAGCTGTAGGTAAGTGTACCTTGTAAGGTACAGAAATGGACTCTGAGGAACAGAGTTTGTCTGGTCTGATTTTGTACCTTTGGGATGTTCTACAGAGTCCATTTCTACAGAGTCCATCTTAAAAGGTACAATTACAAGGGTACAGCCCCAGTGACAAGCAAAGGTACAAATTATGACCATTTTTTTCTGAGAGTGCATTATTTTGTGGCTGATGTAATTGCTGGAGTAACTAGAGAGTAAGCAATTGGGCTGCTTTGATTGGGCCCGACTCGAGCTCTAAGATGTTGGCCTCAGAGTTTTCTTGAGAAGCTGTGGAGGCTCCTCTTTGTCTTCAAAAAGTCCTTCCCAAAAAATTTCTTGACTTGCTTCCTTCCTATTTGCAGTAATAAAAAAGATGTGGGCTGGCATTTTGCCCAGCCTCGGAACGGGCCCAGCTTGGGGTAGGCTGAGCCAGGCCTACTCTGGCATCCCTGAGGGTCCGGGCCTGGCTTTCATCATGCCACCACATGCCTTATTTTCCTCTTGAGAAACAATGACATGTTTCCACTCTGTGATTAGCGGTGTGTAGATTCCAACTGTGAAAGATCCTTGTTGCTCGCCGGGGCTGATCGTCGTGTAAGCCTGGGAGAGTTCCACCTGACAGCTTACATCAAACACTGCATCTACAACCATCTGACCACTGACCAGACATAGCTCCATTCATTAGCTAGTACATACATGCCCATGCAAACATGCACACCTGTTCCGTGATTTAATTTCCTAAACTAGGTTCAGGGGATGAAAATTCCAAAATCAGAAACATTTGTGAGTTTTGCCGTTAAAGAAACGATTACAATATTGTCGATTTGCTTGATATTGATGATTGCAAAAAGAAGTGACAAAACATTAAAAAGAGATAAAATTCATATATAAATAACGTAAAAATTAAACCTTTTTTTTTTTTTTACTATTAGTCTGAACATCAAGGGGAGAATTCTGATACGGTGTCATTGCAGATTTGTGACATTTACATTTACATATTTAGCCAATGCTAAGAGCACATTTGCAAACGTTCATGCTGTCCAGGAGCAGATTGTGCATGAGTGCAGCGAGGCAGAGATGCCAGTGAATTCCCAGGTACAAGTATAAGCAGTATTGGAAGAACCAAGTGCAACATTCAAAGAACATAAAAGCACATCAGGTTAGTAGAGGTCATGGAACAGATGGGTCTTGAGTTATTTCTTGAAGGTGGACATGGTGACCATCAGGGATGCACACACGAGAAACGCCTGGAGTGACACTTCTTACATGGTGGAGGGAGCTCCGAGCGGGGCTGGTTTGCTGACCGATGGGTGGTGGAGATGGGTGCCTGGCCAATGAGGGACCTATTAGCCAGCATCAAGGACTGGAACCTGATGCAAGCACCAATCGGGAGCAAGGGAAGAGAGACCAGGAGGAGTGTGACGTCAGAACGTCTAGGTTGGGTGAATATCAGATGCACGGGTAGACCTGGTAGTAGATAGTTGCACTAGTCAGGTTGTGGAGCAACAAATGGCTGGACTAGAAGCTGAGCTGCATATTCAGACAGGAAGGGACTGACCTTCCTGATGTTATATCAGGTAAATCTACAAGATGAGGAGAACTCTCATGTGCTCAGTTAAGGTCAGCTGGACGTCTATCATTACCCCAAGGTTCCTAGCAGACCTTGATGGAGACAGTGTGGGTAATCAAAGCTGAACATTTCAAACGAAAAGCTTCATTTAGTTGGAAATGACATTTGGGAATAGATAGGTTTGGTGTGAATCGTTTGAGTTTAGATGTGAAAATTCATATACTTAACATTATTAAATAACACAATTTATGTTTGAGTTTGATCTTTCACCACATTCATACCCTTTACATTCAAAGTCATAAATATGATGATTCCAATTCGGTAATGTGCCGCATTTTAATTTTATTTCAGTTGAATTTTCTATTGTTTGAATTTTGGTGCAATTCCAGAGAATAGAAGATAGAAAGAGCACATTTGATTATATGCTTATTGGATGAGTTACTCCAGGTTGAATGAATGTTACATTTATATAGCGCTTTTTCAAACACCCAAAGTGCTTTACAGAATCAATGGGGAGCCGTTTCAGCCCCCACCACTGTGTAGCCCCCACCCGGATGATACAACAGCAGCCAGTCTGTGTCAGTAGGCAGGAGTGAATTTACCAACTTGATGTAGAGGATGATTAGGAGGTGCAGGGGCATAGTTGGCAATTTTAGCCAGGACAATTACCATCCCCCTACTCTTCTGAAGGATACCCACAGATCTTTTATGACCTGGGAGTCAGGACCTTGGTTTCACATCTCATCCAAAGGGCAGCGCCATTTCACAGCACAGCGTCCCTGTTGCTGCACTGGGACACTGCGATCCACACAGACCACAGGATAGACTGACCTGATGGTCATTGCAACATCTCTTTCAGCAGCAATCCAGCTTTTCTTGTTAGTCTCCCATCCAAGTACTGGGCCGGCCCAGACCTGCTTAGCTTCTGGTGAATTACCTCATCTGAACTGCAGGTGGCATACATGCTGGGGTGAAAGGATGGGCACGTCTGGCCCCCTGACCTGGTGTGCTTAGTGTAGCTGATGGTGGGGGGGGGATATTGCTGTACAGTATGCTGTTGGGGTTTCTTCTCTTGCATCCTGGTCTCCAGTTCTGGATCCTTCTATTCCGCGTCTCGTTTTCTTCGATCTGTGGCATTTGAGTTTGGCAGGGGCTCGGCAGTGAAGCATAGGGAATGATTCACACAGAAATGCACACCCCCCCCCCCCCCCCACCACTGCACATGGAACTGCCCATTATTCTGCCAGGCCCGTGGAGCCCGAATTTGCCTGTGAAATCTGGAGCGCCCCCGCTTTAAAAGTGCAGCCTTCCTGTCCCCCCCCCCTCCTTTTTTGCCTCTCCTTTTGCTGTCACAGAGGAGGTAAGGCTTCCCATCTTTCATCTTCCGCCCAATCCCCCTCTCCGCTGGAGTAAGGAGAGACACCGGCGACGCACCGGCCACGCAGAAGCACGACTGGATAACGTGCTGAGAAATGAGGATCATGTGAGGAAGTGTGTATTAGTGTGACTGCAGTATAGCGTAAGAGGCGCGGCGTCACAGAGCGTGCTCTGAACCTGCAGGCCGCGTGATGCGCTTTTCATTCAGAGCCGACCCCGTATTTAACACAGCAGGAGCCCCGCCTGGCGGCTCCTCGAGATTAAGTGGCCCTAATCGAGCACCAGTCAAACGTAACTGGGATTTCCATAACGACACAGAACTGCGACGTGAGTCACGCTGGTGCTTTATTTAATAAATAACTTCGGAAACAGGTTGGAAAAGGTGAACACAGAGGACACCAGGCAGGAAAAAAGGAGGTCTTTAGAACCAAGACTGTGGAGAATGCAGTTACAGGCACAGAGGTGATATCGAGGTATTTAAAAGCCGCTGTTCACAGAGCAGAAACACTGACGTGTCCTGGGCACTCTAATGGAAAGCGAGTAACATGTCAGCATTGTTAAAGCTTTCAGGATCCCAGGTAAAGCTCACTGACACTGACGGCCAATCAGTTGGTTCCCTGTACGTTTTGTGGTTCTGGAAAAGGCCCGAGATGGTTTATTCACCATGAAGCCACAATGTTTCACCCTGTTAATGCACTGGCATTGTGGAGGGGGGGGGGGGTAGGATTTAGCCAGCATGCTTATCACACTGGAGCAATCTTAGAATACACCTCACTTATGATTTAACCTATTTACCTAGCTGGGCATTTTAATGAAGTGCTTTAGGGTAGGTGCCTCACTCGAGGGTCCAACAGCATGGCCCCAAATGGTACAGGAAGCATCCAAGAACCATCGGCTTTCAGATTAGCCCATAACTTTAGCCGCAGTCACTCTTGGGTCATAAGACAGTCCAAGGTACGATACCCTTGAAAAATGTCCAATTTACACATATTGTACAACACACAACTGATGCATTAAAAATATATTCTTTAAACATACTGTTAGGGTGGCTATGAATGCGTAACATACTGTATTGTGCCCCAAAAAGACAAGCAAGTAAATCAATCCCCCCCCCGCCCTTCTCAGTGCTCCTGTTAGCGTGCGGTGGAAGTAGGTCCGTCACTTGCCCTCGTATTTGGGATTGATGATGGTTGTCACGGCACTCTTGTAGATGGGATTCTCGCCCTAGAATGACACAGACAGGATGTTGGTGAGCCCGTCGCCTTGGTAACCCCTCACATCAGAGGCGGCTCTCTGCCCGACCGAATCGGTTATGAAATCCCACATAAAAACCCACATAATAAAGGAGGGTAATATTGTCAGAGGGATCTTTAAGTGCCGGAGGCTGATGTCATTATACTGCTAACATGGGCATTTCGCTTCTACCAACGATGGACTCAATCTCATACTGTGCCATTCCCCCCCCCCGCCCCAGTTAGCCAATAAAACATCTGTGCCATACTTAAATCATTATGGAATCATTATGATATTGTTTCAGTCAGTCGTTTCTTATTACGGCTGTTTTGTAAGTGTTTTGGCATACAGCTCATTATGTATTAATTAACGCTCAACTTCTTACAACACTGAATTCTGCCACATGCACTTTCAGTCAGCATACCACCGTGGCCAATTCTCTCTGGGTGACGTTTTCCAAGTAGGTAGGAGAAGCAAGAAAAAGCAGAGCACAAACACGCACGTACATATGTTTCTCTGCCTTTAACTCTCCACCGTACCTGTCACTCTAATGCACTATTAGTGATTGAGCACTAGGTGGCAGCACTATATCAAAAGACTTGTGGCAATCGGTGGCACTCCCAAAGGACTTTTCCCAGGTGGATGAGCAAATGGCTCAGTTTTCCAATGGTGCCCATGCCAATGGCACCTACAAATAGGGGTCCGACAGGAAGAGGTGTAACTTAGCATGCAAGCCACACGTAAGCAGGTTTCCCATAATCCGTGTGTCTGTCCTGTACTACAAGCTGAAGTTTGAGAACCATCAAGGCTGGTTCCCAAAAGCTACATCGTGAGAAGCCTGACTCAGACTAGCTGGCCCATTATATTCCCCTGCACTACATTTCCCATGACCACCCCCCATCTCACCGAGTCCCATTTGGCGTTCAACTTCTCCTTCTCGAACTTGGCAAACTCCCGCCGGTCATGGATGACTGTGAGCAGCTTCCAAATCAACAGCAGGGCCAAGCCGATGAGCACGATGCCCACCACCACCCCCAGAACGATGGGGAGGATGTCAGGGGCCACCGGACACTCTGTCCAAGACAGCAAGGCATCATGGGATATGGGTCACATGGGTCCAAGACAGCAAGGCACCATGGGACATGGGTCACAGCCAAATGCCGCAACAACAGCCCCGCCAAACTCTTCTTTCAGGCAGCGTATCCTAAGTTCACTTAAATACAGAACTGGGGACAGGGCCCAAATTTCTATACAGACTTAGATCTGAATAAAAAATGAGATAATCAGCTCATCTTCAATGGGAATCACTTTAGACTGGTGACATAGATGTTTACGAATTTCAGAATTCCACAAACAGGTATTTTGTTGATGTTAGCGATATTGTTTGGTGTTAGCGGTATCGGCTGGTGTTAATGGTATTGGTTGGTGTTAATGGTATCGGTTGGTGTTAATGGTATCGGTTGGTGTTAATGGTATCGGTTGTTGTTAGTGGTATCTTTTGGTGTTAGTGGTATCGGCTGGTGTTAATGGTTTTGGTTGGTGTTAGTGGTATCGGCTGGTGTTAATGGTACCGGCTGGTGTTAATGGTATCGGTTGGTGTTAGTGGTATCGGTTGGTGTTAATGGTTTTCGTTGGTGTTAGTGGTATCGGCTGGTGTTAATGGTATCGGTTGGTGTTAGTGGTATCGGTTGGTGTTAATGGTATTGGTTGGTGTTAGTGGTATCGGCTGGTGTTAATGGTATCGGTTGGTGTTAATGGTATCGGCTGGTGTTAATGGTATTGGTTGGTGTTAGTGGTATCGGCTGGTGTTAATGGTATTGGTTGGTGTTAATGGTATCGGTTGGTGTTAGTGGTATCGGCTGGTGTTAATGGTATCGGTTGGTGTTAGCGGTATGGGCTGGTGTTAATGGTATTGGTTGGTGTTAGTGGTATCGGCTAGTGTTAATGGTATTGGTTGGTGTTAGCGGTATTGGTTGTTAGTGGTATCTAATTGTCGTCCAGAAGCTAGCTCAGCCTTTGAGGGCATCATTACGGGGACTCTCAGAGCCCATTTGTACCGTTGGCCTAAGCAGCAGCCCAGGAAGCCGATTCGGCACAGCACTGAGACTACCAGAAGCTGCGGTACTGCCGCTGTGCTTTGCAGACCTTGTGGCGGGATCCAGCACCTCGCGGCCCATCCGAAGTGACACATCTCACTGCTCCGCTTCGCCAGGACTCCTGACTAATTTTAGCCGGGCGGTCACATTTGCCGCATGTCACAGGACTGGCGTCCGCTTCTGGCAGCCGGCTGCAGTTAGCCTGTCACACCGAACGGAAGCAGCTCCCTGGAGAAACGCGTCTTAGGTTCAGGAAGTGTGTCACTCACCTTGCTTCTTAGCCACATACACCATTTCCTGCGTGCCGTTGACGACCTCGTAGATGTAGTAGAACCAGCAGTCGTTTTCCGCCCGCTGCTTGCAGAGGAAGCGTTGCTCGGGGTCCGGCAACGACTTCTGGTCGTCCACGAGTTCCAGCACGAAGTATCCACACTCCTCACTGCAGTTCTTCTTCTTCTCCCCGGTGCCGAAGGCTCTGCACTCGACACAGTCCCTGCCGAGAAGCACGCCTCGTCATCATCCGGGTCCACACAGGTACCAAGTGAGCAAGCCGGCATTAACACGAACGCATGAGATTGGAATGTGGGTGTGGCTACAAAAGAAGGCGGGTCTAAAAAGACCCAGGCGGTGGACTTATATAACAACTAGGAGTCAGGCCATAATACATCTCTTATAGGCTTCTGCTTAGAAAATAAAGTATTATGGCCACCCCTTAGATCCGCCCCCGTGTAACGGTAGGGGCGGTTCTAGGGAGAGGGCGGTGCCAGGGATGGGAGTGGCCTGGGGAGGGGGCGGTGCCAGGGATGGGAGTGGCCTGGGGAGGGGGTGGTGCCAGGGATGGGAGTGGCCTGGGGAGGGGGCGGAACCTCACTTGTGCTCGATGCAGACATCGGGGCAGGTACGGCAGCTCTCACAGGTCCGCCCCTGGTATCTGTCGTCGGTGCACTTGCACACGCCGCACTCGCAGACACCACGGCCGTTGCAGATCTGCTGGTTGGGGGCCAGACAGGGCGTGGTGTCCAGCGGGCAGTCACACGCACTGCCCGTGTAGTTGGCGTCGCAGATGCACACGCGGCACTCGCAGCGGCCGTGTCCTAAGGAAAGGTCAAAGGTCACAACAAGATTTCAAAAGTGCAAAGATGTTCCAATATATGCTTTCATTTTCCATCCATCCATTTTCTGAAATCGCTCGCCCTATTCAAGGCAGGTAACAACCCAGGATGATGGGCCAACCCATCGCAGACATTTCCATTTTATATTTTCAAATTCTCCAGGATCTATCACTGCTTACTCACTGCAGAGTGAGCCTGGAGTTACCCCAGGCAGCACAGGGAACCAGACAAGGAATGACAGTCCATCACAGGAGACACACACACACACACACACACACAGGTTTGTAATTATATTTCTCTATTTATTCCTACGGGGAAAACTCTAATCCCAACATAGTGCCACTGTACAATAAGGCTACCCTTATAAAGGGATTATGAATGGTTTATAAGCAGGTTATTAATTAGGTTGTAACACTTTGTAAATCATTAATAGACCATTATAAACAAGTTATACCACAGTTTCCTTCTTATTAATGAGTTATTACCATTTATAAGTGGCATAGGGAGCCTTATTGTAAGGTGGTGCCCCCAATATGACGACCTTAACCAGCCCTAACCTTACCCATAAGTAACAAAACAGAAGACTTTTGGCATTTTTAGTTTTATTTATTGCAGTCACAGATATTTCTATAATTGAGTTTCCCCTTGTGGGGACCGAAAAAAAAAATGGTTCCCACAACATCAAAATAACACGTTTGTGTGGATCAAATGCAATATACAGACGCTCCTCTACTTACAAACTTTCAACTTATGAACTTCGAGACATACGGTACGAAGAGGACTGTAAGTCCAGATTGTGTTCATCGGGCTCCCGTTTCCTGTCCGCAACATCAGTTTTTTTTTTCTGCGCGCCAATTCCAGGTAGTACGACTCCTGGCCGCTACTCCGGCCGCGCAGCAGTGTAGTGTACGTACTCCCAGCATCCTAGTCCTTAGTACTTGCGTATACCCTTAAAATGATGTTGAATAACGACTTACGAACATTTCAAGTTAAGAACGGCTGTTTAGAATGTATCTCGTTCGCAAGTAGAGCAATGTCTGTATACATAACCCACATCCAGACACACACACACACACAAACACACACACACACGCACACACACACAGGGTTCCACCATGCCTTGGGTCTCACCTCCACACAGCTTGTTTTCAGAGCGATCGCAGTTGAAGTTGTCACACTCGCAGTACTTCCCCGAGTAGCGCTCCTCCGGGTTCTGCCTCTTGTGACACACGCACGTTCCGCAGATGCAGTCCCCGTTGTTGCTGCAGATCTCGCTGCCATTGTTACGCCGACAGTTGACGTCCATATCCTTAGTGTCAACCTCGTCCGTGCTGCACTCGCATAGCTGGCCAATGCGACCTTCGTTGCACCTGGACGCCAGAGAGGCGACGGATGAAAATGCAGCACAAAGAGACCGCAATCAGTTTGAGCCAATTAAATAGCAGAATCTACACCCATGTGACAGAAAGAACTCGCATTAAAAAGGTTTGACCAATCAAATGCTAGACCACCCTTGGCTAGCCAATCAGGATGCCTGGCACAGTAGAAGCCTACCTGCAGGCCCCACATTCGAACGTGCCGTTTCCGCCATGGCACCGCGGGCTGTTGGGCTCGCCGTGCTGCTGACAGGCACACTCACAGATGAAGCTAAGCAGGATCTCCACCTCCTCGTTGAAGCCCAGGGGCTTGATCTTGATGGAGTGCTTCTTGTTGTCCTTCAAGCATTCCTGTGCTGTGACACTGATGGTGAAAGTCACCTGGAAGATGAAATCTGCAAATGTCAGAATACATGAGCACATGTTTGTATGGTCAGTGTGACAATGAATTTGTAATTATGGCAGTCATGGGCATTTCCTGTGAAAGGTTTGCTCGAGGGGGGAGATGATGGACCTATATTTATGAAAAAAAAAAAAAATAGTACAGATCGTTGTCGACTTACGACCCATGCGACTTACGACCGATCAACTTACTGTACGACTAATCGACTTTACGACCCTTCCGAGACTGTAAATATGTGGCCACAACTGTACCTCGTCTGGCAGCGCTAGCGTTGCCCAGCGTCAGTGTATGACAGTTTCCACCTCAACAATGAACTAAGAGAATAGTGATAAAAAGGTTAAAAAACATCAAACAATATCACTTAAAGATGACATAATGTTATTATACGGTATGCTATACATACGATCAGGGGTGCACATAACTAGTGCCCAAGTATGCATTCACTGTATAAAACGTTACGCGCGGCAAAATTCTTGTCGTAGCAGCGCAAATGCGTATTTATTTTAAGTGGATTCGTGCTGTTATGACAAGGAATTACTGTGCATTTTAACCTTTATGTGGCTAATTCATACTTCATTCATTGCTACGCAATTTGTCATGTCAGCACAAATGCACATAAACAAAATACGTGTTTGTGCTGTTACGACAAGAACTCGCCGCGCGTTTCGCATTATGTGGCGAATGCGTACTTACGTACCAGTTACGTGCACCCCTGCATATGATCATTTTTGCATATAAAATAAAGGGCCGACCAGATCGAATTATGACCGGTCAGTCGGAACCAATTGCGATCGTAAATCGACAACGACCTGTATTTCTACAAATGAGTAGAATTATTCTAAATGGCTACTTGAATTAGTCAGCTTGGAATTTTTCAGCTCCAGTTTTAATTTAGTAGCTGAAGTTGAGCCAGCATTGGGCAGACCGTGGCGTGACCTGACGATACACTCACCGCGTCCCCGATTGAGATATTTAGGCACTTCCTGCCATCCTCGCCCCTTCGGGCGATGCCATCCTTGCAGTGAGACATGTATGCCATGCTCACACCAGCTGGTAGCTTGCTGTTCTCCAGAATCACTTCCGATGATAAGGACTAGTACACAAACACAGATGTGTCAGCTACAGGCAATTCACGTAATCTATGATTAAATTAGCATCAGTTAATATTGGCCAACGTCAGCTAATATCAGCCACTGTTAGCTATATGTTGGATAATATTGACTATCGTGAGCTACGATAAGCTAATAATGGCTAATGTTAGCTAAATTTGAGTAATATATAGGTTGAGAAATTAACCCTAAAAACAGGAATGTTGACCAGCAATGACGTTTGCTACCAGTCAAACCAACGATTGCCAGAGGGTCCCCCCAGCTTTTGTGGCCCCTGTTGGCCACAAATGGTTACTACACAAAATATTAAATAAACGTGTTCCTTATTTAGTAGATGCTGAAGCAGCATGTTCTTCTAACAATCTAGCTAGCTATAATCTTCTGAATGTATTGGCTGGTTATTTAGCTCATTTTCGAAACTTCTGTGGGGGCGTGGACTTTATGAGTGGGGCCCCCCAGTAACAACAAATTTGCACCCTGGTGGTGATTACAAAACACATCCATATTCGTCTACAAAGACGTTCGTCTGCCAACTAAACGAATCTACTGGTTCTTTAAATGCTGGCAGGCGACAGGAAGACGAGCCTCCGCGATTGGTGCACATCACCTGGGATTCTCAGGCGGTGCCGTGGGCGGAGCCGAACTCACATTGTAAGCGTCGATGATGAGCTGGATGACGTTGCTGGAATTGGACGACAAGGTCCCCACTGCAGCTTTGGGAATGAGGCTCCTCAGTTCCTGTTAAGGGAGGGGAACACATCACCGACGCTACGGGGGGGTGGGGGGTCACGGCCAGCCTCACACGCACGGTCTGAGAAGTTAAACCAAGACTACCTTGTAAATGGGCTGATAGTCCTGAGTGACGGCAAAGATGGTCTGGATGTTGTTCTCGCTCAGCTTCTGGACCAGATGTGCGATGGAGGGATAGTCCTGCAAACAAACCATGTTAAAACAGCTCCACCATCTCCACCTCACCACAATACTCTACATTGTTAGGGAACCATATCCTGTCCATAAATCAGGACCCAGTAATAAAAGGTCTATTGCCATGGTGACCCAGAGAACCAATGGACAATTTACAAAGGCAAAACGCGACACAATAGGTTACTAGGGTGTCACCATGGAAACAGGCTCATTAGGTAGACGCATAGCAACAGGATGCCAGCAGTCGCCAAGCCCAGGGTCGGGTAGGGACGTACGTAGTAGTGGCTCATGCTGTAGATGTTGTCCTCCAGGTGGCACTTGCCGTCGTTGGGCAGCACGATGCCGCCCAGCTTGCCATCTCCAGCGAAGTGGAAGCCGGCGTCGGTGGAGAAGACCAGCAAGCGCGTCACGTTCCTCCAGCCGATATGTTCCTGCGAAACACAAGGAGGGAATAGAGGAGGTGTAGTTAAAGGACTGGGGAACCAGGACAACATGACAGGGAAGAGATTAGACAGACAAAATAAACACAACAAAATCGTCTTCTGGTATCATTTTACCCTGTAAGTACAGATTCATTAATACGACATTTTGAAGTGTCTTTTTTTTTTTTACTGATTTTTCTGTCAGGCATTTGATGAGGGCAGCCGCAAAGGACTCACCCCACAGACAGCCACCTGCATCATGGCGTCAAAGCCTCCCTCCGGGGAGTCCAGGTTGCCGGAGATCTGCTGCTCGCTCACCAGCCGGTTAAACTCCGTCCCGTTGCTGGTGAGGCTCAGCACGTTCTTGTAGCTGAAGGGGCTGGTGCAATGCTGGTGCAGAGAGCACGGGTTCTGCAGCATGGCCGGAGAGGTGCTGATGAAGGGCATGACCGTCTTTTCCACGAAGGAGCCGAAGCCTGCGGCCACAAGGGGGCGCCAGAACATTTGCATGAGAAGGACCTGCCATGAAGCTGATGTGTGTTTTGAGAACTCACACTGTATTATAACGAAAAAAATGTCCTCCAATATCGGTACATGCCATTACTATTCAAGGAGTGGTTTGCTGTAATTCTTAGGAGAAAAAATATATATACCATATTTACAGAACAATCATGCATTTTGACATGGATCCATCCATCTTTGGTTGGCACTTATTCAGTTTAGGATGGCAGTGAGCCTGCATCTCAGTCAGCGTTGGGATATAAAGCGGGGGATTCCCTAGACAGGCTACCATTCAATCATAGCGCACAATCTCACAATAACAACATTTTACAGACTTTAATTCACCCATGCATGTCTTTGCAATGTGGTAGGAAACCCAGAATAAATTGGCATAAACACAGGAAGTACATGGAGACTCAAGAGACACAAAACTTTTGGTATTTTTTTTGATTCATAGATTTTTTTTTTTAAATATATTTTATAAAACTGAGTTTACCCTTGTGCAGACTGAAAAAATGTCCCCATGAGGTCAAAATAACAGGTTTCCCCACAATGTACTACATACATGCCCACACACAAAGACACACACAGGTTTGTAACCACATAATTTCCTCAGGGATTAATAAAGTATTCTGATTATGATTGTAGTTATATCTTTGTGGGGACTCTCCATTCATTTCTATGGGGAAAACTCTAATCCCAACATGACGACCTTAACCCCTACCCAGCCCTAACTTTAACCATAAGAAACCAAACAAAACACGAGACTTTTGGCATTTTTAGTTTTTTGATCGCATTTGCAGATCTTTGTGGGGACCTGAAAAATGGTCCCCACAACGTCAAAATAACAGGCTTTTATTAAATTGTGAGGGACATTTGGTCCCCACAACGTAATATAAACATAATCCCCCCCCCACACACACACAAACACACACTCTCCATATTCTGGTGTTTATGTTATTGTCCAATAGGCCATTTGTGCATTATTAGCAACTCCATACCAAACAGCAAAGTAACAGTGTATGTTTGCTGGCTGGTGTCAATCAAAATGTTTAGTGTATTAAACCATTACGCCCAAATCAAGCCACGTGCTTCATTGAGCAGAAAAGTTGAGACTTTTTGCTCACTGTTTGGTACCTTCCCTTCAAAAATCCTCCTGCACCCCAGCCCACAATGTAATATAATGATCACTATACCCCCCCCCCCCACACACACACAGAACTGGGGGTAGGATTCAAACAACAAACCAGAAGGTATGAGTCCATTGAGGCACTTTGCTCTCTTTATCGTGACATTCGCTGT